ATCCGGCGGCCGTAGAAGATTCCACAAATTTCGCCACCATTCACTCCAATATAAAATATGAGAAATGTTAATCGCACGGATCKAAAAACCACATATACAATATAGTTAAAGAGAATTTCAAATCTTCAAGACAATTGTTATCATAAACATATGATTAATAGGTGCTATATTATATAAGAAAAATATACAAACAAAATCTGATTTAAATGAGATTCAACTACTAACAAATACTCACCAACATGTGGTTATGGGAAAAACTAAGATAAAACAAATAACAAGCATAGATAGTAGTTAATTAGTAATGAACAGTGATTATATTAAAATAGAAAATATAAATGAGTAACTTCATCATCCTATGTGCTATGTTTAATTTGTTGAATAATCATGTCAAGAGAGATTAGCTTTGATTTAAGACAATTAATATATATTTTTAAACTCTTTGGTCGGAAGATGAGCATAACCAAGTACCGTCATTATTATGATCATGATCGGAACCACCGTAACTTCCATTTTCACCGGTGGTTATGTTCCCGTTAGCCGCCTCCGTCGTCGACGTCAGAGGAGTAGTGGATGGAGTCTGCAACATACCAAGACCAAACTGATCGTGATCATTGCTTCTAGGGTTTGAAGAAATCTGAGCTTGAAGAAGAGCTTGTAGATTCATATTCTCGAAACTATTATTAGGGTTTTGATATTGTTGAATCTGTGATCCGGATAAGAGAGGAGACGTTGGGAGGAGTTTATGAGCAAAAGGTCGTAACAAGAGATTGGTGTTGTAAGAGTTTGGTGAAGAAGAAGAAGACAAGCCAAGGAATGTGTTGAGGCGCGTGGTGTTCACGACGGAGTTGTTGTTGAATAGCGGCGGAGCTGGGATTCCAGTGAACTCTTGAACCATCGCTCGAAAATTAGAAGTGTCCGTGGTTAAAACCGTCGTTGGTGCTCTTCTTGAAGCTCGAGATCTTTTCTTGGTTTTCTTGATTACTCCTATGTTGTTGTTAGGAGGAGGAAGTGATGACGTGGCGGAGAAGGTTCGAAGATCCGGTTGAGTAACCGGGTCGGGTTGTTGGTTTACGGGCAAGAACG